TAGAGTGCTCTATCTGTAGAGTTATAGAAATATCAGTGTTCGCTCAAGCAGGGCACATAGGGCACAAGATGATCCATTGAGATGGGAAAATATTAGGATATATATTCATGGTTATGTTTATTTGAAACTAGGAGAAATACTAAGTTTTACTAGTGTTTGCTACGTGGCCTGACCCCAAAGGCCACTCTGGGTCATGTGTCATGGGTGGTAAGCATGGGTCCATCAAAGTGGTAGTCCATGGCTCTCTCACTGACTTCTTGGCCTTCAGTGTATTACGATGTGTTACAGTTTCCCTGCTAGAGGAGGTTATCAACTCATCAACATGGTTCATTTGGCAAAATCTAGATCCTTAAATGATACGATTTTTACAATACTTTAAAATTGGCTGTATATGTTTCCAGATTTTTTCCCCTAAGCATCTACTAACGAATAGTTATATGTATCAGAAAACAAAAAGAGAGCTGGGCAGAGTGGCTCAAGCCTATAATCCCAGCACTTTGGGAGGTCAAGGTGTACAGATCACTTAAAGCCAGGAGTTCAAGACCAGCCTGGCCAACACGGCAAAATCCCATCTGTATAAAAAATACAAAAATTAGCTGGGCGTGGTAGCATGTGCTTGTAGTCCCAGCTACTTGGGAGGCTGAGGTAAGAGGATTGCTTGAGCCCAGGTGGTTTAGGCTGCAGTGAGCCATGATCACACCACTTCACTCTAGCCTAGGAGTCGGAGTAAGACCTTGTCAAAAAAATAAATAAATAAATAAATAATAAAATAAAAAACCTCAAAAAACAGAAAGAGCTTCATAATCTATATACACCTCTTTTCTTCATATGGTTTGGGCATCTTTTCATGTCACTCTATATAGCTCTACCTCATTTTTCCCTATCTTATTCCTTTAAATATTTGCATAGAATTCAGCAGTCATCCCTCTCATTACAAGGTTAATTTGTTCCTAAGAAAATTCATAGGGTGAATTTTCATAAATGGAAAAGATAATTACTATTTCAACTGATGGTACACAGTTACCGTACAAGTTCAGAAACAAAATACACACGATTCTCAAAGTTATAAAAAATTTTTAAAGACCAGTATAAGAGAGACAAAGGAAACAATGCAAGTGATGCCTGAGTCTGTTACTTAAAACCTGCACCAACTATGTCACTGTAGAGAAGACAGCGTGGAGGCTGCTCCTGAGGCTCAGTATCGGTCTTTGCTAATGCAGTGAAATCCTCACAAGCCAAAGAAAAGAAATTTAATGAAAATGAAACTCCTCCTAAAGTTGAAATCTTGAACTTGCATGGGCATATTTTAGGGTGAGACTCTTTCCCACAATATGGATGCATTATAATTTATGACCCAACTGTTCATTATGTGGACATTTGGGTTCGTATTAATCTGCCAGGACTCCCATAACAAAATACCACAGACTGAGTGGCTTAAACAACAGAAATGTATTTTCTGACAGTTCTAGAACCTAGAAATCCAAGATCAAGGTGTCGGCAGCTTGATTTCTCCTGAGGCCACTTTCCTTGGCTTACAGATGGCAATCTTTTCAATGTATCCCTGCATGGTCTTTCCTCCCTGTGTGCACCCTGGGTGTCTCTATCCTTAGAAGGATACTAGTCATATTGGATGAGGTCATTACCCATATGACCTCATTCAACTTTAATTACCTCTTTAAAGGCCTTATCTCCAAATACAGTTGCATTCAAAATCATTAGGAGTTAAGATGAATTTTGGAGTGTGCAATTTGGTCCATAACTGAGTTGTTTCTCATATTTTTCACAGATATTCCTCACCTCACACACTCCTCAATCCACTCTAATCTCATTTCCACCCTCAACGCTGCAATGGATACTTCCCTCCTCTGAATGCCACCTGGTCAATTATGATTGTTGCTCCTGTAAACAACTACAGTGTTCTCCTTCTAATTGGTTCCATGATGTTTATCATCCCCCTGCCGCTGCCCAATCCATTCTCCCATAGACATAGTAAAATGCATTTATAATCTAATCACCCCACTCCTTATCTTGATACTCTTCCTTGACTCCTTGCTTTTAAATTAAGATGTAAACAACTTAGGGTGGTGGATCAATAGCCCTTGCAGGATCAGCTATTGGTCCACCTCATTCATACCCCAACGGCCTCCTCCAACCCACTTCATTCCAGCCACACGGGCTTGCTTTCATCCCATGAGAAGGGTCAAGTCTTCTCCCACTTCAGGGCATGAATTATGTCCTCCGCCAAGAACAACCTCCTCTTTGTCTGGCAAACACCAGCTCATCCTTCACATACATTAAAAGTGAGTTTCTCAGTGAAGCTCTCCTTGACCCCCACTTGTCAGGTTGCCATTGTCCCAGGCTCCCACAGAACTCTGGATTTTCTCTGCAGTGGTTATTACACATTGCAGTCACTGGAGCGACTGTTTCACACACATCTCCACCACCGGACCAGGAGCTTCTAGAGAGCAGGGGCCACATGGAAGATGCTCATTCCTGCATCCCCAATGCTCAGCCCAGTTCCTGGCACAAAGTAAGTATTCAATAAATATTTACTGAATAAATAAACTTATTGCATTTGGCTGTTTCCTCCATTTGGAAGGCCCTTTTCATTCTCATCCATCTGGCAAGTTGAGGCCAGCCAGCTCCTATATTGCTCTGATTAAACTGTGAATTACTTTCACGGCAGGACCTGTGTTCCCAGTGCCTGGTAAAGGGCATGGTGCACACAATAAGCCTGCCAGTTGAAGCAGACCATTTTTACTTTGCTATGTATCCAGGTCCTACATCACTGCCCTGCTGAAGTTCTTGAGTCAAGAAGCAGATGAAAAAATTATCAACCTTCTGTCTGATTCATAATGACTATCACTGGTAGTCGTTTTTTGTAGGATTTGTTTACAAATCCTACAAAATAAAATTGACAATGGCTAAGATGGCACCTGTGACGTTTGTTATGAAAAGAACTCAGAAGATTCACATCTTAAAGGTAACACTGGAAATTACAAGAAGCCAAGGAAATCAGATCTGGTTGAAATAATCAATGCAAACTAAAACAAACTGCCCACGTAAAATTTGCTCCTTACTAAACATTTATAGAGGACTGCCATTGACAGGTTTTTGGACCCACAAAATTTTACCAAAGAAAATGGAATTATGGCAGCCAGGTGTCGTGGATCATGCCTGTAATCCCAGCACTTTGGGAGGCCAAGGCAGGCAGATCCCTTTAGCCCAGGAGTTTGAGACCAGCCTGGGCAACATAGTGAAAGCCTGTCTCTATAAAATAAAAATAAAAATCAATCGGACATGGTGGTGCACGCCAGTAGTCCCAGCTAGTTGGGGGGCTAAGATGGGAAGATTGCTTGAGCCCAAAGGTTGATGCTGCAGTGAACCGTGATGGCGCCACTGCACTCCAGCTTGGGTGACAGGGTGAGACCATGTCTCAAAAAGGAGGAAAGAAAAGAAAATTGAACTTGCTAGTGTCAATGCCTTTTAGCCAAAGACCACCAGGACACCTGTAGTTGAACACGTTGGGTTGCATTGAGGGAGAGTACATACCGTTACAGAACTATGGGGGGTATCTTCGAAAAGGGGTGTTATAAAGAACCTATTACTGGATTTGAGCTTTTATGGGTAACTTAAGGAGGGTCTATGAAAGTTGGATTCACCCTAGATTGCATGTGGTCAGGAAGCAGGAGCCAATTCCATGCCTGGGTATCTCAATAAATCTCATCTATAGAAAAGGCAAACTAGAAGAAAGACAAAACTAGTTAGCACGGGGCCGGGCGCGGTGGCTCACGCCTATAATCCCAGCACTTTGGGAGGCTGAGGCGGGCGGATCACGAGGTCAGGAGATGGAGACCATCCTGGCTAACACGGTGAAACCCCTTCTCTACTAAAAATACAAAAAATTAGCTGGGCGTGGTGGCGGGCGCCTGTAGTCGCAGCTACTTGGGAGGCTGAGGCAGGAGAATGGCGTGAACCCGGGAGGCGGAGGTTGCAGGGAACCGAGATCATGCCACTGCACTCCAGCACTCCAGACTGGGTGACAGAGCCAGACGCCAACTCAAAAAAAAAAAAAAAAAAAAAAGGAACTAGCAGACTAGCAGTCACTCATTTTCTCCAAGAAGGGTGTTTGATATTTTGTGAGTGGCACAGTGATCGTGTTTTTGTCTGTGCTTAGACAAAATTTCAAAGTAGCAAATTTGCATTTGCTATGTCTCAGTCTATCATACTCTCTGTAACCATATCTGAGGTTATTTTGTGATGCTATGTACAATAGGAGGATAACATGGTGGACCTATGATGCCAGGCTAGCTTCTGAATGTCGGGGTTGCCTTTTTTTTTTCCTTTTCAATAAAATGAGCCTGAAATAAGAAATATCACAATGATGGAAACCAAAGTAAAATTCGACATACAAATTTTAAAGAAGTAAAATCTTTATCATGAAACTTATATGTAAAAGAATCAGTGAAGACAATTTCCATAAAATAAAAATGAATATGGATACTATTTACGTTGCATTAAAAAAACTGATCAAAGAATTGGTTTAATGGCAAAGGCTCTGGAAAATTCTTTTGCAACAGTTCATCACCGTTGATATAATCCTAATTAAAATTATCGGACTCCAGTTTTGGTGGAGATGTAAATTTGCTAGTGTCTTTGAAGAGCAATTTTGTCATATTCATGAAAATTAAAATTGCATTTGGCCTTTGACATAGAAATTTTACTTCTGGAAATTTACAGAGAAAGTTGCACGTGTGCACGTACACACAAGGATATTACCACACTACTCTAGTATTGTTTGTAATAACAAAAGATTGAAAAATATTAATGTCCTCCAGTAAGAAACTGATTAAAATTCAGTATGAGACATCCATTGTAACCAAAGCTAGGCGGCCTTGAAAAAGTCAGTGTCGCTCAGTGACAGGGCTCAGCCCACCCTCATGCAAACCCACCCCGCGGTGTGAGGCCAGGAGGGTGCGGTCACGAGGGGCCCAGGAAGTGTGTCCAATGCTTGAAGCAGCCCCCACGCTGGCGGTCCTGAGTCTGGGTCGCGCCTTGGTGTATCTCTTTTGACGTCTACTACCCACAGCCTGGGGGAGGAAAGTGGCGGCGAGGAGCAACTGCACGCGACTCGGGACCTTGCCCTTCTCCGCGGCCAGCGTCACAATGGCAACCGCGGGCAGCCGGTCACTGACGGCTGGAAAACGAGGACCCGAGCCAGGTTACAGGCTTGGACTTCGAGCAGCCCAGGGAGAGTCTCTGCGTCCTCCAGCCCCCGCTTCCCTTCCTGTCGGAGATCCTAAGCCCGCAGCGAAGTCTGCAAGTAGCTTTCCCCGACGCCCACGAGACCGGAAGTGCCTGGGCCCAGGTAGAGGAAGGACCCGCGTGGCCTCCTCTGCGCCCTCCCTGGAGTCCGCGCCCGTTCCGGCGCTTCTCCCGCGTCCTTCACCATGGCAACTTCTGGCGTTCGGAGCGTGGGCCGCGAGCCAGGTGGGTGGGGAGCCGGTGGGCTCTACCCGCCAGCCCACGAGAAGTGACGACGGCGATGGGAGGCCGCAGGGACCTGAGGGCGGAGAGAGGAGTGCAGAAAGTGCCGGGCGGCGGCTTCCGTTTCCTCTGCGGGGTTTCTGGGTGGTCGTGGATGGGAGCTGCCGGAGGCCTGGCAGCCGTGCGCCTCTGCTCCGGGCAAGCTCTCCCTGCAGGGCCTGGGCGGCGGCAGGGGGCAGTAGCGGCCCGCGATGCTCGGAGGCTCCCTGGCACGGAGCTCCCGGGCTGGGGCACCTGGATCTGGAGAAGCCGAGGGCCTTGGTCACACTCAGAGCCGACGTCCAGTACGGCCCTTGCTGAGAACTCGAGTGAACAGATCTCTACCCAGCCCCCACCCCACGCGCGCCCAACCTGGGTCAGCTCGCCCTGCCCTCAGCCACGCAGCTGGTGGCTAAGCGCGGGCTCCGGGTTCGGGCTGCCTTGAGCTCTGTGGCTCCCTCTGAAAGTGGTGATAATGATAGCAGGTATCTTGGAGTTGCTTTGAGTATTAAACCAGTTAATTATACTTAGTACAATTTCTGGACTTAGTTTGTAGCACATGGTAAGTGCTCATGGGCTTGCCTGGGGCAAATTGGTTAACCTCTCAACCTTGCCTCGTTAAAAAGTGGGGATAATAATAGTAGCCACTTAATATCGTTATAATAATTATAGGAGTTAATATTTGTAAAGTCCCTTGCCTTCAAGAACTTAGGACATTTTTTTAAAAATTGTAAAGCCCCTAGAATGGTTCCAGGCACATAGTAAGCTGCCTCTATTATTACCACAGTCATATTGTTGTTATCACTATGTTAAATAAAATTTATAAGAGGCTATTGGTTTGGACTGAGCCCCTGCACTATGCCCAACACATCAACCCAATATGGAGTCACTTATGCTGAAGTTCCATGCCACCAGGCTGAAACTAAGTTGCTTATTTGACTTTCCTAGAAATTAGGAGAGAGAGACAGTTAATATAGCCAAATCCCCAAATAAACCAGCTTTAGCTGGCATGATGAGGAAGTCCTCTCTGCTTTAACCTTTACAAGGAAAATAACTTTGAAACAACCAATTCGCTTTTTGTTCTGCGTTTCTGCTTTCTTCAGCCCTTTTCTGTCTATAAAGCCAGCCTCCTCAGCTCAGCTAATCAGAGCACTCATTCTATTTTATAGAACGAGGCACTGGCTGATTCTAGAATGCAAATATAAGCCAATTAAGATTTTAAACTAAATTTCTTGTAATTTTTGTCTTTTGACAACTATTATCATCTGTTTGCATTGTGAGGTTGGAAAGGATTGCATTTGTCCTGCTACAAGGACTTTTAGCCTCTGGCAGGATTACAGAACCATTTGCCTGCATTTCTCCTTTTATTTCTCTAAGTTTTTCAGCTTTTTACATGGTTCTATAGAAGAGGCAGGATCGTGTCCTTAAAAGATCACTGGGCTGTGAGTCAGGTGGACTTTGGTCTTGGTTATGCTACTTGGGCAGTTCACTGTTTCCTCATCCATCTGTAAGCCTCTTTCAACAAAGGGTAGCTGGTATTATCTATTATGCATGTTTAGCCTTTCCGGTAAGGTAATGTATTTAGTAAAAATAAGTTAGCATCTGCCAGCAATTCTCCAGGGTAGTAAGAGAAGGTGGCAGGTGCTTTGAGGAAGTTACAGATGAGAAGCTATGGGATTCTGAGAAGGGAGAGTAAGCTTCTTAATTTATACTTTAATTTCTAATAAGTAGAAATGTCAAGATGTACGGGGGTCAAATGAGAATGATTCTACCCCTCCACCCCACTAAAAAGTCTGGGAAAGTGAATTTTCCCCTCTGAGGCTTTCTTATTTCTCAGTTGGAAATAAGATGTATGTTGGCAGCTACATTCATTATTGCTTGCAGTGTAATCCGGCCCCTGTTATGGATTCCCAGACTTGGGCTCCCGGACTGACTTCTTCCATCAGCAGGAGCAAGAATATCATATTCACCATATTCTTCTCTCTCTCTCTCTCTTTTTTTTTTAGACAGTCACACTCTGTCACCCAGGCTGGAGTGCAGTGGCGCGATCTTGGCTTACTTCAACTTGCAACCTCTGCCTCCCTGGCTCAAGCAACTCTTGTGCCTAAGCTTCCCAAGTAGTTACAGGCATGAGCCACCATGACCGGCTAAGTTTTTGTATTTTTTAGTAGAGACGGGGTTTCTCCATGTTGGCCAGGCTGGTCTTGAACTCCTAATCTCAAATCTGCCCGTCTTGGCTGCTTCCCAAAGTGCCGGGATTACAGGTGTGAGCCACTGTGCCTGGCCCTTTGTTTTTTGTTTGTTTGTTTGTTTTTGAGACAGAGTCTCACCCTGTTGTCCAGGCTGGAGTTCAATGGCACAGTCACAGCTCACTGCAGCCTCGTCCTCTAGAGCTCAAGTGATCCTTTCACCTCAACCTCCTTAGTAGCTGGGACCACAGGCACACACAACCATGCTCAGCTAATTATATTTTCATTTTTTGTAGGAATGGGTGAGGTGTCCCTGTGTAGCCCAGGCTGGTCTTGAACTCCTGGGCTCAACGGATCTTCCCTCCTTGGCTTCCCAAAGTGCTGGGATTATAGACATAAACTGCCGCACCTGGACTTCTTTTTGTTTTCAGAAACCCTCCCTTCACTATCAGAAGGTGAAGTCCCTATTTATCCTACTTAGGTTAATGCACTAGGTTAGAGTAAGCAGTGTTTCCTAGCAGTTATGGGCACTGGCTTTTATAGTCAGGGGATTTGAACCCTGCTGTGATTCTGAATCAGTGTCTGAGCCTCAGTTTCTTCATCTTCAAAACAAGGATAGTAATACCGAGGGCTGTTGTGATGATAGTGTGAGATCTTGCACTTAAAGAATCCAACATGGCCGGGCGCAGTGGCTCATACCTGTAATCCTAGCACTTTGGGAGGCCGAGGCAAGCAGATCACAAGGTCAGGAGTTCGAGACCAGCCTTACCAACATGATGAAACTCCATCTCTCCTAAAAATACAAAAATTCCCCGGGCGTGGTGGCACTGATTTGTAATTCCAGTTACTCTGGAGTCAGAGGCAGGAGAATCGCTTGAACCCAGGAGGCGGATGTTGCAGTGAGTTGAGATCGCACCATTGCACTCCAGCCTGCATGACAGAGACTCCAACTCAAAAACAAAAAATAAAAAACAAACAAAAAAAAGAATCCAGCAGTACTTGCTAGGATAAGTGCTCAAAAAAATGTTGGCTGCTCTTTTTAAAAATATATGTAAATAAATACGGGGTCTTACTGTGTTGCCAAGGCTTATCTCAAACTCCTGGCCTCAAGCCATCCTCCTGCCCCAGCCTTCCAAAGTGCTGGGATTACAGGCATGTGCCACCACACCCAGCTGGCTGCTCTTTTTTTAGCACTGTCATCATAGTTATTACATTGTTAGTTTACAAAAGGCAGGGTAATCTTTTGTAGTCTTTTTCTTCTCTTTGTTGCGTGGCAGATCTCTTTATTGCCAGCAAATGTTTGTTGAATGAATGAGTGAATCCACCCAGGAAGCTCTAGTAGCAGTGAATTTCACATTGCCCTGACTAATAGCAGCTCTGCGCCAGAAACCATATTCAGTCCCATTACCTTGCTGAATCCTCAAGTTTGATGACTTTGTCTAGCCTTCCAATTTGGCTCCTGAAGCATTGGTGTCATTGATTCACAGTCCAGAAGCTGGGAGTAATGTCTGCTGCAGATTTCTGTATTGTTTCCATAATGAAGCTGACAGCAGCATACTATCTGTAGCCTGTGCTAAGATAGGAGTTGGGTGTCATGCTGACGTCAGACACTGTGTTCTCATTTCCCCAAGGATGAGCTGGCTTCTTTGATGCAGTTTCCTCATCTCATTAGTGCATTGCTTGACATTACACTTCTGAAACAGCAGGGCTCAATCAGAGTTTAGCATTGCAACTCTATCAGGGTGATAATGTCACAGGGCATCAAGTTCCTTCTCTTGTCCCTTTGTGGCCACTTTCCGAGAAGTGTAGCAGCTGTAGGGGAAGGACAGACCAGGAAAGGTCTTTTTGCTTCTTCTGATCCACTAACTGTATTTGAGTTTTGGGTTAGAGAAGCCTTTAGAAACCTCTAATTTAGTACTTTTTAAACCCTGTTCTGTGGGGGTTTTAGAATTCATAGGACTCCCTCGTCCTGCCAGGAGCTGCTTCTGGGGAAAAGACCTACCTGAACAGGTAGAACTTGGGGCATCCTACCTCTGGTTCAACCAAAGCGAGCCCTGTGACATCTCTGGGACACTGAGGGACAAAGTTATTTTTATTCCTCAGTAGAGACTCTGAAAGCCAGTCAGCACCATTGTCGGACTTTGAGCAAGCTATTTATGCATTTGCAGTATTTATTCATTCATTCAGCACATTCTCAGACACTCTACTAGGGGGCTGGTGATAGAGGAAGAAACAAAGATCCTGCCATCAGAGAGCTTACATTCTGGTAGGAGGAGACAGACAGTAAAATATGTGCCATGCAGGGCCTCTCCAAGGATGTAGAACAAACAAGAGGGCTGAAGGAAGTGAGGGGCTGATAAATGGTGGAAGAATGTTCTAAGCAGAGGAAATAGCTGTGCAGAGTCTCTGAGATAGGATGCCAGAGCAGCTGGAGAGGAGGGAATGATAGAGCCAGTGGAGGTAGACAAGAGGCGGGGGTCTAGATTACCAGGACCTTTGAGCCATGGAGAGGAATTTAGATTTTACTCAGAAGGAGATGTGAGGACGTTGGAGAGGTGAAAGCAGAGGAATGACAGGACTTGATTAATAGGGCCATTCCGGCTACTGGGTAGAGAATAGAACTTAGGGAGTGAGAGTGGAAGCAAAGACCAAATAGGCTTTTAGAAGGGTCCAGGTGTGATGACAATAGCTTGGACTGGCATAGTAAAGAAAGGTGAGAAGTACCTGCACTTGGGATGCATTTTGAAGGCAGACCTTATGCGTTCTGCTAATGAG